TCGGTATACGACTTAATTCAATTATACGCGCCATCTATAAACAAGTAGCACTATCGGTGTACTAGACCAGACTAGACATTCACGGTGCCATGGTTTATTACTTTGTTAAATTTCTTCTGATTCTAATTTGTAAGTAAAATTTATTATTTTTATTAATCATGAATTGCAAAAAGGCAAATAAAAAGCAACAGAAAACTAAACAAAAAAAAAATGACTAGAATTACAATGGAACTGAAAAAAGAGATTGTCGAGAAATATGAATGTGGCATGCGTGTTCGAGATTTAACTGTTGCGTACCGTATTCTGAGAACGAAGATATCGACAATCGTGAAAAATAAAGACATTATTAAATCTGCTAACGTTGGGAAAGGAGTTAAATCAATTTCTAAACAGAGATCGAAGACATTAGATCATGTTGAGAAATTGCTTTTGCTTTGGGTAACTGGAAAACAGTGTGCTAGAGACAGCGTATCAGAAGCAATTATTTGCGAGAAAGCTAAAAAGACACATGATCTCATGAAAAATCAAGCAGGAACTAGCCAGGAAAGCGAGGTGTTTAAAGCCAGCCATTTTTTAAAAATTTTTTTACGTGAGAACGGATTAATCATTTTTACATTACTTCTTATGGGAAAGGTTGGTTTGGTATACGTACTATTCTATATAAGTCCAAACATCGGGAACGGATTAAGGTCGTATACCGAGGTTCCACTGTATATTTACTCCAGTAAGTTTAGTATAGTTTATTAATTTTTCTAGGCATAGTCACATTTAAATATAATGAATTTTTTCTGATTGCTTATTTATAATTCCAAATTAAACCAAATAATAATAAAAGAAAAAAAAACATTTCATACTTTATTCTTAATGAATAAAAAAAAATAATTTACTAGAAAACAATTTTCGTAAAATTCATATTTTCCAAAATAAAACAAAGTTATAGCTATTTTTTTAAAACTAAATGAAAAATGCAGTCATATTTCTCTAATTATTTTTATTATCTATAAATTAACTTTAAAGTCCACAGATGGCGCCAGCGATACTCGTAGTACTCTTACAATAGTTCTACGACTGTGTTATGTCAATATTTTTTTTTTTTAAGTGAAGTGCATTTTCTTGGCCTTAGTCTGTATGGTATTATATAAGTAAAAGTCATAATAAATCACATAATGGAATGAGTAATCTAGAAGTCACGTGACGCAAAGACAACTCGGTAGCAACGTCATTGTGACTTGGGAGCGAATGTCTCTGGAGAGTCATTAGTCTTTTGACGTTTTTGATCATATGAATGGACAATTTCGGGATCTGGCATGATATAGGAAACTACAGTTTAACCTACAACTCTTTTCCAGGAACATGATCTTAAGAATGGTACTGAGTTTTTAGAAAGAGGATGCTCACTTCATGATGGTCTTTAGAACCTAAGTGGCAAAGCAGTTCTGTTCTCTTGAACACTGGAAGTTCTGTCACGGGTTTACTCTTCACCAGGACGGGCTGGCCACAAGGAGTTTTCTGAGTTTTCTCCACATCTGTAACATCTGAATAGGGGCCAGTTACCCTTAAAAAGACCACCCTGAAGGCTTCCCCCTAGGCAGATCACCCAAGTGTTGAGTTGCCATAACTTAATAAACAAACAAACAAGTAAAAGCAGAGATCTGTATATGGAAATTTCATAAATTAATTTTAAGTTTTTTCGTAATGTGATGCAAATATGACATTATACTTGTGTCCAATTATCGGGATCACCTGTAGGAACTACATTAATTAACAGTTAACAGAACTATGAGTTTAGTAAACCTCTTTTGTGAGACAGGAACCTCCCGATATTTGCCTGTTACAATGAAAAAAAAAAATATATAAAAATATAAAATGTTTTTTTGTATATTGCAAACTTTTTTCCATATATGTTTTCATGATTTATCTCTAAAGCAAGATATAATACCTACAGGATGAAACAATGAAATGGAATGAATAGGATGAAGTGTCAAATGCTTTTAGTATATATGATTTACATTTGTTTACAATTTATCATAATTGTTTTTAATAAGTTGAGATACATATAGAATAGATATGTACTGTAAACCATTATAATTTTGATATTGATCATATGTTGTCCACTTGTCCTAGATCATAAAATAGAAACAAACTGGATTACAGCTGAAAAGCCTGTAACTATCATGTTCTAATTATTTTGTTTATTTTCTCCAGAATAGAAATGAACAACTCCTGTGACTTGTGGGATTCTAATATGTGGCCACTGAGCCTTTGGCAATGTAATTTTATTTTACTGTTTTCTGCCTTATGACATTATATGACCCTAATTTTAAGCTGATATTTGTGACAATGAACATTCAAACTAAACTTGATCAATTAAAAAGATGAGAAAAAACTATATATTACTAGCTTGCATAACATTAGCATGTGTTATTTTAGTACCTAGTGTATGGGCAATTGTGGAATTGGTACCAACAGACTTAAAGCCTGTTACTCTGTAAGAATAAGCATGCAGCCTGCCAGAAGCCAGAGCCGGCCCTACCATAGGGTGAACGGAGCAGTCGCTCCAGGCGCTAAGTCCTAGGAGCCGCCTCATTGGTATAGAAAATTAAAGAGTATAAATTAGGGGCAACCAAGAGGGGCGCCATAATGGGATCTCGCTCCATCCTAAAACTTGCCTCGGGCCGGCACTGCCAGAAGCCTATGATGATCACTTTTGGCCTACATCCAGAAAAGGCTGTTTATGTGTCCTAGAAGAATTCCATGTTAAATTACACACGAAATATTAAGAAATCTACCCAAATTTTAATATTTTAATTAAAATATAACTCATATTACTGAAATATATTCCTTAAGTACTGTTTTGAAAAAATAGTTCATGTTTTGAAAATAGAAGTACTTTCCATCATTAGACAGACAAAAGATTTAATAATAAGATTAAGTAACTGAACTATTTAAAACAAGCTAAATTGAATATTGTGTTGACTATGTCAGTGGCTAATTATAATATAAAACTTTACATTTCTTAGATTACCCTCTAGATTATTCTTAGGATGGAAATAACTGAAAGTGTTAAGTATAATAAATTAATTTTTTACTGTGACATGAATTATTTGGGAATATAATTTAGTAATATGAATTGAATACTTTGGAAAATAATACTGATGTCTTAAAATACTGAAATTTTTATATGCAATTGATTGATGCACAAGTGGTCAAGTTAATGAAATTAGCCTGCTTTCTAAGAATGCAGATTTGTCTAGATTGAAGCCTCAGAAATATTCATGGATTGTTTCAGCAGAATTGTCTTCATTTGTGTGGAACTTTGCATTTGCACAAGGCTCTGCATTTAGAGAGCCTTGCACTTGGTTAATGCATTGCGCTAGGCATTTTCAAAAAGACTGCATTTATACTTTGCACAGGCTTCACAAAATATGCAGTTGATTGTGAATAGTTAGATCTATGTATGTTAGGCTCTATATATATATATATATATATATATATATATNGGTTATTACTTCGATCACGTGCCTGGCCATTTGGCTAGACACTTGATCGAAAGTTGCTCATATATTAGATATTAGATTTTATTCGGTTCATAAACATGGAAATAAAAAATAGCAAAACAATTTTATCGTATGTTAAAATCAAATCTCAGTGATATTGAAACAGCTATTTCACTATTGTCAGCCAATCGTATAATTGATTAATTTTTATTAGAAAAACTATGTTAAATTAATTTAATTGACTAATAAAATTTTGGTGTTTTATAGAAAATTTATTTCAATGCCTTATCATTAACAAATGATCATTTTTAATTATTTTTAACTGGAAGATTATATGATATGATAAATAAATAATGTTTACCGAAAACTGATGGATAATTGAATGTTTTCTATTTCATTTAGGGAAAATTTTATTATAAAACTTTCTGTATGCTTATGTTTGTTCAGAGTTTGCATGCAAACATCCGCTTTCGTACTGTACGTGAAAACACATCTTTGTAGTAAATGTATTAGTTAGGTTGCAAGTTAAAGTGGAAATGATTAAAGAAAATGAAATACTGGAATATTTATCATTTAGGATTTTACTGTATTTAATTTACATTCTAAGTATAGGTCTGTATATTTTCCTTATACTGTAGTTATTCCTTATAAAAATAGCGTGTTACTGTACATTTAACCAGGGGCGGATCTACATAGGGACTAATAGGGCTTAAGCCCTTAGCCTCCAAGTGTCAAGGGCCCATAAAAATTAAATTATTATCATAAATTTTTTAATACTTTTTCGTTAACAATGAGCACTTATCGTATAGTAAACGTGGAAAAAAAAAAAAAGATGTCTTTTAATCTAAATTATTATAAAATTTATTTATATTTACGTAAAATATTGACAATTTTCTTCTGGTGAAATGTTGTTTTGATATAATTAATTTCTCTTTATGAATAATACTGTAAATAATACATTATTTACAATTGCTGATGTTCCTTTATTACCCTTTCTGTACTATTTATTATGTATTAAACATAGTTTCCTAAATTATAGCATCATAATGTGTATAAAAACTGAAAATTGTGATAATTTGTAAACGTAGATACTCTCACTCAAAAAGCATACTGTACACTCTCTTTATATTTCACTTTAGTTATTCACAATTGAATTTTCCTAAATAAACCTACTTAATTCATAATTTATTTGATAGAAAGAAATGTTTAATACGTTTATCTTCCTTCACTAAAAATATGTACAGAATTTTTCTTCTAAAACATTAACTTTTTACTAACAAAATCTGTTTGCATATTCATCCCACCTTAGATATAATTTGTTTTTTGTATTTACACTCAATTTATGTAAAAATTATTGTGTTGTCCTGTTTATTTTTAATAGCTTATCTTTGTTTCTGTTTACTAAATTGAATTTTACAGTAAATTACTCGGAAACTCTGAATTATAAAAGCCAAACACAAATTAAATAGCTTAATTTTTGCAATATTAACTTAACAGATATAAATATTATTAAATAATTATTATTTATTCGTGTATATCAACTTCTTTTTGTGAGTCTAGTGTTTTGAAGAACTAATCATTTATTGCACATGTAAACGGAAAAGTATTCTCTTGTCTTTGATGAAATTTGTTAAACTTTATTCATTTCTACATTAATATTAATTTTTAAACATATTTTTTACATTATTTAGCGTTAGCTTTCGGTCACGTGACCGCTCTAAATTTATTGCGTTGGCGGCAGATTCTGCGCACTCGTCTGTTTACTGCCTTTTATGACTAATTTGCATAAATTTCATGGTGAAATACTAATCTTCAGTTAACAGATTTAGATATTCTATATTATTTAAATTTGTCAGAATTAATCGAAAACTTATATAAAATTTCTACTGTTTATCCAGGAAAGCTTTAGCGTTACGTGTCATTTCAAATTTATCCCATGACGTAGTTCGCGGGGGATTTTGCAGCACTGATTTTTTTATTATTATTCATTTGCATAATTGTGATGATGAATTAGTCATCTTTATTAAACAGATCTAGGTATTTCGTATTACTGTATTTAAATTCATCGGGTTTTACGGAAGAACTAGCTGTTACTCGCGACTTCGCACGCGCGGATTTTGCAAGCAAACCCCATTTATATTCAGTATTTCAACAATCACAGTAATTGTTATATAACACCTACCGCTGAGAATCAAACAAACTGTTTTCAATTTGATCAATTTTCTGGAACGTTTATAATCATTCTATAATCGAACCAATATGCAATAACAAATTCGAATTTAAAACGGTTCGAACATTTGGTTAAAAATTCGAAATATATAAAAATATTTATAACAATGTCTGAATCGTTATCAGTTTAATACACCTAAATACTCAATGAAGACTAAACGTAGTTGAAAACAAAAAATTGCATCTAAAATAGTACAGTATAAGTCGTTCTTCCGGTTAATTAAGTCTTAGGGTGCGACTATGCAGACGCGAATTTAGAGCTAGCGAGAGGTTGCGAGCGATTTAGTTTTCGCAAAGGAAAACCATGCACAAACGAGAAGCGAGATATAACGCTGGCGAGAGCGAATTTCTGGTTTTCGCACATATCTGACAGGTTTTGATATTTATCGCGTCTCGCCTCTTCTCGCCACATATTCTCGCTCGCGTCTGCATAGTCGCACCCTTAGGTGCGAGAACCAGAAATTCGCTCTCGCCAGCGTTATTTCTCGCTTCTTGTGCATGGTTTTTCTTTGCGAAAACTAAATCGCTCGCAACCTCTCGCTCGCTCTAAATTCGCGTCTGCATA